CTGTCGGTGGGCGGGGCCAATATAGGAGGCATGGCTCTCGCGCCTGGGCTCGACCAATCAAAGGTGTGCGTGCGAGGCGACTGGCCGATTCTAAACATTTACCTTTAAAATACTGCATTCCAATCAGCAAACTCTTCTATGCATCATGGAGATGCTATTTCTTATACCTGTTCATCAGCGGCTTGGCCCTGCCCCATGCTTTCTTTTCAGCCCGGAAGCTTGAACTAATTTTGAAACGCTTCATAGGGAAGTGATTACAAGACACCATTTTTTTTACTTTAAAGTAATCAATTTGATATTTTTAATTGAAAAAAAATATATGTCTACCGGTGGGCTGGGCTGCTCCATGGTTGGGATTGGCTTTTTTGGTAGGCTGTTTCAAGCTTGGCCCATGGTTTTAACATGTCTTATATTCATAAGATATCTTTAGCAAGTCACATGCTATGCTATCACTGTATTTAGTTTAGTTTTTTACTCTTTCAGTCTTCCGAGAATTTATTTTGTCGGTAGTACTTTAGTAGGTAAGGAATAATTTTCCTTCATGTAAATTCTCAGCTGATTATTTTTTTCTTTCAAACCTGTCCAATTTTCAGGCAATAAAACCAGAGATGGAAGCCATTAAGGATGCAATGGATGTGAGATATTGTGCTTTTGTTGTATAGAATATACTATGTACTGCCAACTCATGAGAGAGTGGGTCATGGAGAACAGTTATTTAACTTCTGCTAGTTAGATACTTCATGCAGCTCATGCTTTAACCTTTCAAGTTTATTTCATACAGAGTCCGGATCCAAAAGCAGCGTTAGAGGGGAAGTATAAAATGACCGCACTCTTTCAAAAGTATGTAACCTTCATTAGATTATTCTTGTCTTTATTTCAATAAAAATGACAACATATGTCTATTTTTGTGTTAAATGATCATGTTCAAAATTTTGGGAGCACCTTACTCACTATTGAACACATCGTGAAGATAGCTTTTTTTTTATGTGGTGCATGATGTATTAGAAATACTGCTCTTTGGTGCAGTTACTCTTAACTTTTGGTATTTTTCCTTTAGGCATGGTGTTAGTCCATTTAGTCCACTAAAAGGAATGCTAATCCAAGGGCCAATGTTCATGAGCTTTTTCTTTGCTGTGAGTCCTGCTTCTTTCTGCCCATCTGATTGTTCCATGTTATACTATCTGTTGAAGAAAATAAATGTACTATTTACCTTGCTGTTTTTCTGATTGTAGATAAATAACATGGTTGAGAAAGTCCCTTCAATGAAAGCAGGAGGAGTATTTTGGTTTACTGATCTGACAACCCCGGATCCTCTTTACATCTGTCCTGTGTTAGCAGCACTGACCTTCTTGGTCACAGTGGAGGTATGCAGTTTGTCTGGTGTGATTGTGATGTCTGTGTATCTGTCCATAATTGTGCATTCAAACTTGGTGTGCCGCTGCTTCTTGCTTGCATGCTTAGTGTTGCAGGATTTAGGGGTGATCATTTTTTACATACGATCCAGACCTGAATTTCCTTCCGTTTCTGTTCTATACCATCTTGCTTGCATAAGTGCATAAGCATGTATCCCTGTCAAATGGTGCATTTGTTTGTAACACTTACAAAGGTAAACAAACTCTTCATGTCTGCATCCAGTTGGCAACTCTGCTTTAATGGCACCCTTTATTTACTGAACATCCAGAATTTCTTACCGCTGATTGTGAATTTGAAAATTTTGCTGTGCTGGCTACTTTATTTTGCAGTACTGCACTCTAATATAGTGAATATATTGTGTTATGTCAGCTTAACCTGCAGGAAGGAATGGAGGGCAATTCTATGGCTGATAAAATGAAGACATTTTCTAGAGGAATGGCACTCATGACAGTCCCGTTCACAATGAATTTTGCCAAGGTAAAATAATATTGAGATCTTTCACCTATGGGTATTTTCTAGAGGAGCTAGTCAAGTGTGCTAAATATATCCATTTTCACAGTATTCAACAATTTCGTCCTAATCTCCTAATGGTTTCTCCTTCTCCAGGGAATTTTCTGTTACTGGGTCACGTCGAACTTGTTCTCCCTCGTATATGGTATTGGTGAGTATGTTTCGAGTCTTTAAAAACTGAGACAACGATGATTGCTGCAAGGCATTAGGTTCTGTTTGATGGTCTAATAGCTCATAACATGTGATACTTTGATTTTTTCTTTTATCAGTTATTCGTCGACCCGCTGTGAGGAAGTTGTTTAATCTTCCTGCTTGGGAAGCTCCGTCTGCACCTGCGCTGAATTCAGCCTTGAATATGTTTGGTGGATCCAAGGCAGTACCTTCAGAAAAGTCACCTTTAGCACTCACGGCAGCCCAGCAATCTTCTTTGGAGAAACCTGATGCTGCCGCTCTTGGGTATCGGGTAAAAAATCTTGAAAAGAAGGGGAAATCTAGAGCCAAATCTCGGAAGCGCAGGTAAACCATGCGGCACATAGGAGCTTAATGAGAGAGAAAAAAAGCCATTTTGACCTCGTGGACGGTTGAGACTTGATTTATCCTGACATGGTGCTAAGATTTGATTTTGCACAAGGAGGCCGCCATTGTTTCTTCACATTGTAGGGTTGCTGTGGCCATCTTCAGTGAATAAGAGCGATTTTGATATCCTAATAGTTTATACACAAATGTAATTTGAGCAAGTTGCAATAATTAATCTTGGTGTTCATCTTCCGTAAATGGAGATTAACCAGTTCCTCTGGAGTTTTAGAGAGCCTGGGTGACAAAATGGGGTAAACTATGATAATCGGGAAAATTAGATCTTTGCCCCACCTTACTTCCCCATTAGATAATTTGCCAGTTCCTCTGGAGTTGTACGCCTTCTTGATGTTTTCAGACCTGACCAAAGGATCACTCCTTCCGGAATAACATGAGCGTGTGCTTTCTTTCAGTTGTTGCTAAGATATTGTTGGCCTTTTTTCATAAGGGCGCTCACCTACTAAGGGATGTGATATCAATTCCAATTCACAAGCCTGCTTAGCGTGAAAGCCAAAGCATGTATACACCAGCTCACATTTTTTTTATGTGTGGCTGACTGGCTGTGTGTGATTTTTTTTTTGAGATGAGGCAAAAGACCTGCCTCATTCATTAATTAAGAGGGAAAACGAGTTTAATGCTTGTGTTACTACACCGCTACAAAAGGCCTACTCTCCCGGCAGGATGGATCCCAATTTCATTGTACCCGCGGTGACCCAAGTTTGAGCCTCAATCTTGAGGTTAACTAGTCGAACCGTTGGCGGAACACTTTTGAGTTGGAAGATCCTTCCATTCCAGATTGTTCAAGAGGTGAGCAGGAGAGGATAGCCATGGCCTTCCTATTCGGTATGGTAGAGTCGGAGAGCCTGATCCACCACTCTTCGGTTGGCCGTGTCAAGTGAAAGTGTTGATGCTTTCGAGCTGGAGCCAATTTTTTATCATTTCTCAAAGTCTAGTAGTGTACTGGCATCTGAAGAGGTGGTCGATGGATTCTTGCATGCGCTTGCAAAGAGGACAAAGCCCACAATTGGGCCACCCCCGGTTGGCCAAACAGCCAACAGTACATATCCTATTTTGCATGGCCAACCACGTGAAAAATTTGACCTTGGGCGGGCCCAGGCTTTCCACACCGCAAGCTCCATGGGGGAGTGGACGATGTCAAAGAATTGGGCCAAGTGGGTGAACTTGGCAGTGTATATCTCGCTTTGTGTGTTTTCACACAATGTCGTCTTCGGCGTGCACCTTAAGAGGGAAGTCGCGGATGGTGGACCAAAACTTAAAAAATTGTCGAATATGTTCGAGGGTGAACTTGGGAGTGACCTTGATCTTGCGAACCCAAGCATCATCTCGAGGGCTTCCCGAAGTTTCCAAGTATTCCGAGAGGAAGCGTAGTAGATAAGTGGTGCGATGTCCTAGAAGGGCGTGCACGCACCGTTGCCAACGGTTATGGTCGTTGAAGTATAGAAAAGATGTTTGCTCATCTCGTCGCACGGGTCAATTGTGATTGGTTACACAAGCAACCGACGACTTGAGCAGAAAAGAAATGCAGACATCTTGAGAGATAAGCTCCCTCCGTTTGAAACCAAGAGTAAAATCAATCAAGGTCAGTGCATGTCTTGTTGCTGGCTACATAGTTTTCTTTTTAGCCAAATTTTAAAAGTTTAGGACTGATATTTGGCACACGTGTGCCATATAAGTAACACGTGCATTTTTTTTTCTTTAATTACATGCATGCACTAGATGACAGAAAAGTTAATGTCATGCTAGGTTCTCCCTATTCTAAAAATTTAAAATGTTTTGTAGCTCAAACCATCGGCCCGATGCGAAAACCGTTTTCACATAAAAGATCTGTGTTGATGAATTCTTCGAAACTAGATCTCATATTGTTATGTTCCGATGATTTTCCTTTTAGGTCAAAAGTTACCACGCCAGTGGTATGCAAGTTATCTAGTATTTTCATATGAGTTATTGTGGTTATGTTTTTTAACAACTTTTTCTCCCCTTAGTCAAAAGTCACTGTGGTGTTTGTACGTAAGTTATCGGGTATGCAGTTCGTATATTACCGTCCTATTTTTACATAAGTTGTTGGGGGAGTATGATTTTAACAACTTTTCCCCCTTGATCAAAATTACCATAGTGTTTACGTAAGTTATTGGGTTGCAATTTGTATATTAATGTGTTATTTCACATAAGTTACTTAGGGTATGTTTTCAGCAATTTTTTCTCCCGGTCAAAAAAGTTATCGCGCTGTTTCTACATAAGTTATTTTGTATGTGGTTCATATATTACCGTGCTATTTTCACATAAAGTTACGGGAAGATATTTTTCAACAACTTTTTTCCCAAACGTTATCGTGATGTTGTACGTAAGTTATCGAGTATGCGATTTATAAATAACTGTGCTATTTTCACATAAGTTATTGGAGGTATGTTTTCCAACAAATCACGCGTGTGGTGCCTATACCATGTTATTTACGCAGAAATTACTGGAATATGTTTGATGCTTGTACGCAGGATATCATGACATCCTAGATTCTCCACATTTCAAAAATTCAAATGCGTTGGTACGTAAAACGCGGGTCTGATGTAAAATATGTTTTCACAAAAAAAAACCGTCGCGACAAGACCTTCGAAAATAGATCCCATGTTGGTATGTTCCAACGACTTTTTTTAGTGTTAAAAGTTACCACTCGTAAGTAAGTTACCACTTCTGCAAATTACAATGTTATTTTTACAAATGTTAACGGGATATGTTTTCAACAATTTTTTCACTCGGGGCAAATTTACCAATGTGTTTGAGCGTAAGTTATGAACTCTACGATGTATTATCAACTTATTTACTCAGAAGTTACCGTTTATTAACAACTATTTTTCCTCGGTTAAAAAGTAATCGTGGTGTTTGTGGGTAAGTTATCATGTCTGCGGTGTATATATTACCATGTTATTACACATGACTTAACAGGTATGTTTTCAAAAACAACTTTTTCCCCGGATCAAACATTACCATGGTGTTTGCACATGTGTTATCAGCTGTGTGGTGCATAATTTATCATGCTATTACACATAATTTATCAAAGGAAGTTTTCAGCAACATTTTTCTCGGTGAAAGTTACCGTCGTATTTGTGTGTAATTTATCAGGTCTATGATGCATATATTACCACACTATTTACATATAAATTATCGGATGTATTGTTTCGTTATGTTTTTATACGGGTCAAAGTTACCTTGTGTTTATATGTAAGTAGTTAGGTCTGCAGTGCATGTATTATCATGTTATTCACACAAAATTTATCAGGGGTATATTTTTCATTAAAAAATTCCCAGCGTCAAAGTTACTGTTGTGTTTGTATGTAAGTTAGCAAGTCCGCGGTGCATATATTACCATGTTATTTACATAAAATTTATCAGAGTATATTTTCCATTAACCTTTTCCCCATTGTCAAAGTTACCATTGTGTTTGTATGTATGTTATCAGGTTTGCGATGCATATATCATCATATTATTTACACAGAATTACCAGGGGTATATTTTTCATTAACTTTTTTCCACTGTTTCAATGTTATCAGGTGTTAGTACCTGAATTATCAAGGTTATAATGCATATATTATCATTATATTTACATACAAATTACCGTGGTATATTTATGAACAACTATTTTTTCTCGGATCAAAGTCACCGTGGTGTTTTCCCCTGAATCATTGTACAAGATTTTGGGATTTCCCCAGGTACGATGTTGCACAACATTTGGGGTAAAGCTAGACCTTTGCAAGGCTGCAAATACCTCATCGATAACTTTGCCCCCTCAAGTATCCCTGCAGAAAGGAACAACTTGGTATATCACCAAAAAGCTACTAATATATGGAATTTCCCATTTTACAAACAGCTTCCAAAAATTGATGGTTTATCGGATCCACCATACATCAAGGGGTTCTGAAGCACATTTCAAGGTTATGTTATCGCCTAATTCCTGCAGTGCATATAAAACAGCTAGTCATAGCTCCTGTATCACCTTCAGAGGATAATCATCCTGTCTTATCTTAACCCTTGGAACTTGATCTATCGCCAGACGAAGCCAAGAATGAGTCCGCGACCCTATTCTAATTCTTGTCTATTTCGCCCTTGCCAGCATCGGACATCATAACAGACGGGATATTGCTGCAACATGGATGATAACAACCTAAACTTGGCAAAGACAGTAATTGTTCTCGACACCAAAACAACAAAGAATGGGTATTGGCAACAATGGAGACAAGAGTGGTTCTTGGCACCAAAACAAGAAGAATCGCTCACATGTAGTAATGGGACATGAATTCCATCAAAATGGCAACACACAATCCCATAGCTAGCGTGGTTGCTCAGAACAAAAAATGGAACACAAATAGTCAGATGTATGATGTTTTGTGACATTGTTGTATTTGCGAGAGAGTAGCAACATCACGTCGTGAGGCACAAGATGCAACATGAGGAGTTCAGGAGATAGAAACGACTAGGGAGAAATAGCAAGATGTTAGACATAATGGGAGGAATATAGCTGAGCGGTGATACGTCTCCAATGTATCTATAATTTTTGATTGTTCCATGCTATTATATTATCTGCTTTGGATATTTTATATGCATTAATGTGCTACTTTATATTATTTTTGAGACTAACCTATTAACCTAGTGACCAGTGCCACTTTCTGTTTTTCCTTGTTTTTGACTTTTACAGAAAAGGAATATCAAATGGAGTCCAAATGGAACAAAACTTTACGGTGGTTTTTCTTAGACCAGAAGAAACCCACGAGACTTGGAGAGGTGGCTAGAAGACCTACAAGGCGGCCACAAGCCATAGGGGTGCGTCCCAGGGGGGCGCCCCCAGGGCTTGTGGGCCCTGATAACCCACAAGTATAGGGGATCAATTGTAGCCTCTTTCGATAAGTAAGAGTGTCAAACCCAACGAGGAGCTAAAGG